CACCTAGGCACGTGACGCGTGCCCGCGAGGACGCACAGACCTCGCAGGGTCTTTATAAGAAAAGGGAATAGCAAATTCCCTTTTCTTTCTCTTTTTCTACCTTATCGTTAGAGAAACTTAATCTAAGCTACCAAGTTGTTCCAACAGGGCTTAGCCCACAACAGCTATTAAAAGTATATATTAGTATCGAGAAATAAAGTTAAAGGAAAGAAAAATAATAGGTAAGGAAGGCTACGGCTTAATATCATTATAGCCGCCCTTAGATTTATTTAATATTAGCTTATACTACCTTTACTTTAGCCTTATTTCGCGAGGGTAGCGGGTATATATTCAAGATATATATATACCGCGCGGGTTATTATAAGAAACCGCGGATCTACCCGGTGTGCGAATTAATATATATATAAACTTAGGATATACTCCTAGCGGTAAGGCACCCCGTAGCTATCCTATAGGGCCGCCGAAGTCTAGTCTAGAGTTGGGGGGCGGGGGGGCGTGATATTACGGTTCTAATAGCTACTAGCGGCTAGGTATAAGACCTAGCACGGTTCACCTAGGCATAAGACGCGTGCCCGTGAGGACGCACGGACTTCATAGAGTCTTTATAGGAAAGGGGGACCGTAAATTCCTTCTTCCTTTTCTTTTCTTACCTTATCGTTAGATAGACTTAATCTAAGCTACTAAGTTATTCTAATAGGGCCTAGCCCACAGTATAAATTATATTAGATAAAGACGTTTTTTACTAGAATATAGAGTATAAAGAAAAACCTTCGATATTTTTCTAGCCCTAACTTAATAGCCTGACCCTATTTTAACCCCTATGATACTTTTCTTCGTCTCGACTCGATATTTAGGTAACTTAATAGCGCGAACTATGCTACTACTATTGTTCACAATGGAACTTTAGAGTTTAGCTGGACGGAGCGGGCGAGGCGGGCCGAAATCTACTCCACCGTACCGACTATCGTCGATATCAAGCTCAACCGCCCTCCTGCAGTGCCCGAGGTCACTAATCAGGCGGCAGCTCTTTTTAGCAGCTACAGCAACAGCCCTGATGCCTTCTTGGATGTAGTGTTTGGCATTGCCGCTCCAGAGGGGGTGTTACCGTTTGATATACCACGGTCGAATAAGACGGTTGACTCTTCTTTTGAAGATTTGCCCTTTGACGCGGAGGATCCGGTATTTAGTTTCGGTCATGGATTGAGGTGCAGGGTGAAGCCGTGTATTCCGAGGCCGAGTACCTAAGGCTACGTCACCACTCAGTAGCTCGGAAGGTGGGCATCGATCTCCGACTACATGACTTCGCGAAGTCGCTGCCCTATTGACACGAAATATAACCATGCCTGCAAGAAGACACAGTGGATCTCTGTGTTTGAACGGGTTTACGGTTGCTGTTATTGAAGTGTTTCTACAAATGAACCCACGAGCCTTCCCCGCAGTGAGATAAGATTAGGTCTTCTAACTTGGAAAGTGTGCTAAAATTATTTCATGACAGAGTGTGTCGGTATCTGATAACCCTGATGTGTTTGCCTTGTCTGTCAGGACCTTGATATGACCGGCTTTGTAAGTTCGCAAGACAGGAGAACCTCGTACCGACCTCGTACCGACCTCGTAGCGGTACTAGACCTGCAGACATGGGCACCGTCCCTAAATCACTGGGCCCGGTCATGTTCGATTTAACAACTCGTGCATGCTGCCGTCGGGCTGATAGTATTGGTTTATTTCATGCAGCCACTGCTTTAGCTACCCTCCGCACCCTTTCAACGAGCCATTTTACCTCTTTCCCAGCTCCCAAAGCACCATATACTTGTTTCAGGACCGACTCAGTCCAGTCTCCCACCCACCAGACGCCACACAGGTGTTTAAGCAAGACACTAAAGCAAGCAAACACCGCGATCGCAATCGGCTTCCGCTCTTCAAGGAGAGACATGAAAGCATCCGAGACGTTGACTAGCCACATAAAGACATCAGTGTTCTGTAAGCCTCCCGGCGGTTGGTGGTAAACCGCGTTAAAGGATCGCCGGAGCAGATATACAGCGCCATCGTACGCCTCGAGCTCGGCTGATTCCGCCACCCGATGGCGAATTTCCACCTGCAAGTCGGTAAGGGCCTCCAGCTCCACCGCATCCGTCGCTGACAGTTCGCCCAGCAAACGAACACGCTCCCTGCCGATTTTGATCATGAGCGCCAAGGGTCCGGATTCCAACTGCGCCGCATCAGGAGGCATGATGAGCGCCCTCGTCCCCCGAAACAGAAAGACCCAGTCTAGGAAGTCGTCCTCTTCCCCCACCACCGCACACCTAGCCCTATCTCCACAACGGCTCCTGGCAAGCGAGAAGTAACATGTCAGGGCCGAAAACAGAAACAGCGCGGTGCGGTTCTCGTCTGAGACCCTCTGCATCTCTTTCTTGGCACCATTAAGCGCCGTTTGGTACATCTCAACGCCCTGCGACCAGTGTGTTTCCCGCTCCGTCGGCCTCAGATGCGCGAGGTGTAATGACGCGATGGCAAGGATGGCATGGAGCAAGAAATGAAAGGATAATCCTATCTTGGGGACTTCTATCTGCCACAATACCTGGAGATCCACATTTGAATGCAATGTCCATGCCGTCGAGGTAGTAAAATGATGCAGCAACATCATGTGCCTAGTGCTGAAGATAAGGCTGTCAGATCTGACACCGTGTGTGCCCGTCTCTGTGGAAGTCCAGCCGCCAGTAGGTGCTGATACAAACGTCTTTTCTCGTCCGTACACGCAGGATGCACCGTGTATTCTGCAATTCCGGCATCGCGGGTTTTCTTCGTCGCACTGGCCAGGATGGACTACAATTAGCTGGTCACTCGTGAAGCTTCTTCGAGAGGTGCTCTGACCTTGATCCTCCTATGTTTGCACGTCGAACATCCCGTTCTGGTTTTCTTGTGTACTCTGCGTATCATTTTGCCCGCAGTTAGCACCATATGCTTCGTCGGTGAAAACCTAGGTTCGCTAAAGATGGACAAGGGCAAATGATGTCCGTGGTGTGGCGAGTCTTGAGACAGGGGCTTTCAGCAGGAGGCGCCGAGAAAATTAGGTGTTGGTGTTCGGAGTCTCTGTAGATACGCTAGGCTTGAAGTGGTTGACCCATTTACTTTTCAATTGCCCCCGCATATGCATCAGCCCAAATAGATTGAACCTCGTACTCGGTACGATGTCCATTTAGTCATCGGACCGACTTCGAAGGATGCGTATGCAAATGAGTCCCGAAACGGCTAATGTCATCCAGACATACCGATCTTGATGGTAATCAAACAGACCCGAATCAATTATAATTTACACCAGAGCACGAACGAAAAGTATTGGCATTAGTCGACTTATAACCCCACATGAAATTTGCGACGTTACTAGCACATCCTAATACTTCCCTCTTGGCAACACGCATAATAGGCTCTCTGAAAGTCTTGCTTCTATCGACAATCTCCGCGCTGGCAATATTAGTCTCTGCCGAGTCAAGATGCCGCTGTGGTGACGCAGCATATCTCGCCATACCTCGCGTTAATCTCTCTACCGCCGAACAACTGAAGCCATGCGCGCGTTATAGTTAGTACTATCCGCTAGCGAGGAGGTTGGGGAAAGCCCCGTGGGTACTGGAAGCTTGTGCCCGGGAATTTGTCATGAAGTTGGGTCGATGCTAGCGGAGAACCTAACGAATAGTGCGAATCAGCGAGCGAGAGTATATGAGGACCCCGAGGCCCGTCTTGTCGACCAATCACGTATCAGACCCCGCAGTTCGACGACATATCATCAGGACCCACCTTGTCGTTTTCGACTTTGATGCATGATTCGCGGAGTCATGCTCCCAGTGTTTCCACCTCAGCAACGCTCCCAGTTCGAATATCGCAATTTGCCGTTATCTTAGTGTCTCCCGCAGGAACAATCGCGAGATCGCCAATGACGGGGAAGATTCTGCGGTGAGATCATCCGACACCCACCCACATGTTGGCGTTCGTACAAATCAAAAGTTTGGGTTAGACAGGAGGACGATTGCACTGCTCGTAGCTAGGTGGCAGTTTCTGGGGATTAAGCCACTTTATCAGAAGCACCAGGTATGTGATTCAGAGCCAAGCTCGTGGAATTCCTCTTCCAGTTGGATCCTCGCGGCTGCGATTGAAACTCCCAAAATCTCTCAAATGTTCTTTCAGGGTCAGGGCTTCATTTCCCTTCTCAACTGGTTTGGGTGTTTCCCTTTCCGGCGCGAGGCCGCACGCGAGTTAAATCTAGTACTGAGCAATTAACACTCCAGAACGGGCAACGGGAGTGACTGTTCGGTGCCGCTTGTCCAGACTTCATTTGCGGCAGGGCACCAAAAGATGTATGGGAACCGGAGTCGACCCGGACAACTGAGTTCCTGCCAATGATGGATTTACGCTGCGGAGCACTCGAGCCTGGGGTGTGGGGTAACAATGCGGAGAAATAGGCAAGCTTGGTCGATTCTTGCGCCCTTTTCATCCCCTGGCGGCATGACCGCCACGCTAAGACGAAAACCAAGGCTTTACATGGACCTCGTCTGGTGAGGCGCCGATGAAGGCCCGGTGATCGGTCCACATTTTCCATGGATAATTCCTCAACGTGTTGAATGACCAGAGGCACCCTGGCTTCGTTATTCATAGCCCCTAAACTCACTATTAGCTACGACAAGACTCGCGAGATGTAGTGTCTCGGCTGCCGACGCCAGGCAGCGCGGACAAACGGAGGAGGGGGGAGGGGGGAGGAGGGAGGAGGATAAATAGGAGGCAATGCCATTCCGGTTTATCAGTCTGTCCGTCCCAGGAAATATTCTTCTCGCATTCTACCTGCTCTGGATCTGTCTCTTCTTCCGCCTACTGTTGTCAACATGCTCGGTCACGTTCTAACGGCCTTTTTGGCAGTGGCCTCTCCGGCTAGGGCTGCGTCGGCCAAGTCTGACCCTGTCTATCGGGATTCGGAGCGTTGTGTTAGCGATAGAGTGGAGGACCTTCTTTCCCGAATGAGCCTCGAGGAGAAAGCCGGACAGATGTTCCAGCAGGTCCTTCTGATGCGACCCGGCGGAGTCATCGACACCGGCAACCCGGATGCCAACCGTTTACCAACCGAGTCCATGATCAAAGATCGTTACATCTCTCACTACAACCTCGCTGGCGGTAATGAAGAAGGCCTTGTCATGGCGGGCTTCATGAACCACCTTCAGGAGCTTGCCCTAGAGACTCGTCTCGGCATTCCCATCACGATATCAACCGACCCCCGGAACTCTTTCACTGAAAACTTTGGTACCGGTTTCTCCGCCGGGACTTTCTCCGAGTGGCCCGAGGTTGCGGGACTCGCCGCCCTTCGAGACCCTGAGCTGGTTTTCAAGTACGCCGAGATCATCAGGGAGGAATACCTTGCCGTCGGCATCCGGTCCGCTCTGCACCCAACGGTCGACGTCTCAACGGAGCCCCGATGGGCCCGGAACAAGGGGACCATGGGCGAAGATGCTCATCTCATTGCGGAACTCGTTGTTCCCATGCTGAAGGGGTTACAAGGCGATGTGCTTGGGCCACGGTCACTCACGACCGTCACGAAGCACTTCCCGGGTGGTGGCGCTATGCAGGACGGCGAGGACGCGCATTTCTGGTACGGCAAGAACGCTACATACCCCGGAGACAACTTTGATTATCACCTCATCCCGTTCAGGGCGGCTTTTGAGGCCGGAGCGAGACAGATCATGCCATATTACTCACGCCCTATCGACACTGAGTACGAGGAGGTGGGATGGGCTTTCAATAAGGCTGTCATCACAGATCTACTTCGTGAAGAGATGGGTTTCCGTGGCATTGTCGTGGCGGACTGGGGCATCATCAGCAACCAGTCCATGGGTGACCCTGAGCCGGCACCGGCCCGTGCCTGGGGTGTTGAGCACTTGAGCAGGCCGCAGCGGCTACTCAAGGCTCTCGAAGCCGGTGTTGACCAGTTCGGCGGCGAGCACGTCACCGACATCTTGATCGACCTCGTCAAGAGCGGAATTGTGCCGGAGACTCGGATCGACCGCTCCGTCCGAGCGATCCTGCGCGAAAAGTTCATCCTGGGCCTGTTCGAGCAACCCTTTGTCGATGTCGAGGCTGCGCAGCGCATCGTGGGGAACGACTACTTCAGGCGCGTCGGCGCGGAAACGCAACGCCGCTCTTACACCCTGCTGACCAACAAGGAGAACATCCTGCCCCTACGCCGCGCGGACATGGACGCCAAGTTCTACATCGAAGGTTTCAACAAGACGTACATGGAGCTTCGAAATTTGACCGTTGTCGAGACACCCCAGGAGGCTGATGTTGCCCTCCTCAAATTTGAGGCCCCGTCATACCCTCGGAGCGGTGCCTTCGAAAAGAGCTTCAACACTGGGCCGTTGAACTTCACGATGACCGAGCAGGAACGCCAAGCCGCCATCTACGCTGCTGTACCGACGATTGTTGATGTCTGGCTCAGTCGACCGGCGGTCATCCCGGAAGTTTTTGAGCGAGCCGCCGCCGTGATGGGTAGCTATGGCAGCTCTCCCGAGGCGTTCCTGGACCTGGTTTTCGGCGACGCCAAGCCGGAGGGCAAGCTGCCCTTTGATCTCCCCAGCTCCATGGAGGACGTGGAGAACCAGTTTGAGGATGTGCCATTCGATACCGAGAATCCCGTGTTCCGTTTCGGACATGGACTCTCCTATGAAAACGTTCCGTGCAAGAACAGGTGTGCAAAGAGGTAGCTCTAGATCGAACAATAATCGCTTGGCTTCTTGGGAGGGGCACGAGGAGACTGCGATCTAAAGAAAGAATTCCAATACATCTTTGTGGGTGGTACTAGTAGTAGTGGTATTTTTAACAACGGAGTTGTCTAACTCAATAGCAAAGTGCGCCCGTGCCGGACCTCCTACACCATCTGCTAAATTATAGTAATACTGGAGGCGAACGGGTTCCAATGGTATGGTTTGTCTCTCGCCGGGACGGCTGGTGATCGGATTACCTCCTGCATGACTTTGGGCGCTGCGTGGTCTTGGAGCTCTATGTTTAAAGCATTAGTGTCCGGCCGCCACCTTTATAGCAGATATATTTTAGGGGGGAGGTAAATGAATAGTAAATTATATCCTTCTGTACGGCTATACTGAAGGCCTCTAGATACCCCGTTGGTTTAAGCTTTCTAGTTGGAAACCCCTTGCGCTTGCCAGGAGAGAAAGCCTATAAGTCTAAGTAGTAGTATAGTCTGTGGAGTCGTTGTCCTTTCTCTATTGGAGGTACTTGGAATCTCCCTGGTCCGTATCACGAGCCAGAGGAGATCAACTCACGAGGTAATGCCAATTTATTGCAAGAATAGTACAATGAGGAGAGAAGAGAGAAGAGAGCAGTTGGCGCGTAGGCGCGGACGAGTGATATGTTACCCCATGCCTCGGCTCTTGACCACTGTCCTGCACTCCGCACTGGACGTCCCGTCAAACTGAAGACATTGACTTATACTTACCTGCTAAGCGACCGTGAAGGTGCCAAACTCGACAAGGTCCCTGCTGCTCCAACCGGCGCTAATGGTTATCTCACCCTCTGGGATCCTCCACTGCTGCACGGCGACGTCCCAATAGCTTATGTCGCGTCTCATCAGCTCGAAATTCACCGTCTGCTGACCACAAGTACTCAGCTCGATCTTTTCGAACCCGCGAAGCTGGCGTACGGGTGTGTCGTCGGGACCCTGCTCGGGGAAGGTGATATATAACTGGGGCACGGCGGCTCCGCGCACGTGGCCGGTGTTGTGGACCATGATTTCGATTTTGTACAAGGTCTCCCACAGGGCAGGGTTGCCCCCCGGGGCGATGTCCTGCTTCTTAGGAAGTGCCTCGATATCCCCAGTGGCGACTTTGTGAATAGTCAAATTGGAGAGCGCAAAGGTTGTGTACGAGAGACCGAAACCGAACTCATACAGCACCGACGTATTGGTCTTGTCGAAGTGGCGATAGTCGATGAACAGCTTCTCGTCAAACCAAGACTGCCAGTCTTCGGTGCCATTGGTGGTCACTCCGGTCGTGATGGGTGCAAATTCGTAATCCGTGGGGTTGTGGGCAATGGTGTAGGGAAGCCTTCCTGACGGGTTGACGTCTCCGTACATGACATCCACCATAGAGTATCCAGCCTGGTCTCCAGGATAGTGGGCAGCAATAATAGCAGTGACGTTGGGGTGGCTCGCAAAGGGCATCATGTTGATCCCCCCCGAGTGTATGACGACCATGGTATTGCTGCAAACACTCGCCACCTTGTCGACGACAGCGCTCCCTTCCCACTCCAGGTCCAGGGTCTCGCGGTCCCAGCCCTCGGATGCCCAGCTCTTCGTCATGACGATGCATACATCGGGCTCCTCCGTGGAGAACATCGAAGAGGGGTCCATCTCCAAGATCTGGGTGTTGTTGAGCCAGAACTGGACCAAGGCGTTGCCCTGGGCGGCGGCCCGCTCCTGGATCGCTCGCAGAGGTGTCACATGCTCGGAGAAGCGCGCCGCGCCAGAGCCACCTCCGACGGCGTAGTTGCCGAACTCGTACTCTTCCTGGTTGAGGGGCCCTTGTGTGGTATCTCCTGCATCGTTGCCATAAACGTAAATAGACTTGGGAGATCTCAGAGGCAGCGCGTTCTTCTCGTTCTTCAAGAGAATCGTCGAGGCCGCGGCATGCTTTCTGATTAGCTGTCCGTGGTCGTCGCGAACGTCACGGCTGGCTGGTGCCGTGACCTCGGCCTCCCAGTCGTAGAACAGTTGCTCGGAAGGTGCTAAGGCTTTGAGCTTCATACTCGAAGGGTCAATGGTAGGGAAGTTCTGGTTCTGTTTGAGGAAGAAGTAGGGCGTCATGATGCGCTCGACCATGTCATTGACGCGTTCCTTGCTGATAGTGCCATTTCGGACTGCGAGGGTTACATTTCCGCCAAGGTAGGAGTTGTAGCCGCTGCCGTCGGGAAGTATGACCTTGCGTAGCGGCGTTCCAGGCATGTCCATATCCAGGCCGGCCTCCATGGAGGCAACACCAGCGTGGGTCGCAAACCAGTCAGACATGACGTATCCCTGAAAGCCAAGTTCTTCCTTCAGGAGTCCGTTAAGCGCCTTAGAGTTCTGGCATCCGTACGAGCCATTGATGCGCTGGTACGAGCACATAACAGCAGAGACCTGCTCGTGAACCGCATTCGCAAAAGGCCACAGGTACAGCTCATCTGTTACTACCAGTCAGCCCGAACTCTCTCCCAAGAATCAACTTGGTGGTCTTACGCATTGTACGGTCATCGGCATTGGAAGAGACCGCCTCGAAGACCCAGTCGTTAGTGCGCCCAAGCGTAGGGTTCCTCAAAATTTCCTGCTCGTTGAGGATGAAATGCTTTGCCGTTGCCTGGACACCAGCATCCTGAAGACCCCGCACAGAGAGACCCATAGCCACACCGCTCAGGTAAGGATCCGGGGAGAAGCCTTCCCAGTTGCGGCCGGAGTAAGCCGATCGACCCAGAGGTCCAACGGCAGGACTGCAGAGGTAGAGCCGTTAGTATTGATCAAAGAACGACCATCACGTCTGTGCCAAAAACCTCCTCTGAAGCTTCTCAAGAGAGAAAAAACAAAGGGGTTGGGGGTGGGGAAACCTACGCAAGCGCGATATGGGCACCTTTGCTCTTGAATTCACGGCCCATAGCGACACTCCTGTCGTACATCATCTTTCTATCCCAAGAGGATGCGATGGTAACTCCAGCGGGAAAGACGCTTGAGTAATCAGCATTACGGATGGCCGCGGGGCCATCTTGGAGACAGAGGCCAGAGAAACCCATGCGGTGTATGGGGTAGATGTTGCCGGTGCAAGGTCCGGGCTTACCAGTCACCATGGTAGCCTTCTCCTCCAACGTGAGCTCTGCAACAAACTTGCGGGCCTTTCTCAAGGATTCTTCCCACCTCCCAGCACCAGATATGCGAGCTATGGACTCGTGTCAGCCTTCAGTCGTCGGCCGGGTGATCAAGTGATCACCGGTTGCGTCTGCCGCCGGTCCAACTTGCTCCAGTGTTTTACTTACGAGAAGGATACACAGCCGGAGAGTGACCATACTGTCCGAGAATAGTGGTATTGGCGGGTTGGATGTAGGAAAACGCGCCTTCGGGTCTGTTCGGCACAGCATAGTGCTGCGCCACGATGGAGGCCACCAAAGCAGAAAGAAAGTGGAGTTTGAGATGCATCTTTTCGTACTCTCCCTGGATCACTGAGACGGTCTACAATAGCTCATCAGAAACAAGACGGTGGTGTCCTTTATACCATGGCGCTCTTTACACACACAATAATCTATCATTGCGCGGTGCTGCTCCACTACGCCGTCTGTCGGTCATGCGTTCATTGTCCTTGAAAAGCATCGTTACCAAAAGGACTGCCCGCATCGGCCTCTATTCGGAGTGACTAGAGGTCTAAAGACCTTGGCACTAGCAACGGGGCCAGGGAGGTCACCCCAAGTATTATTGCGTCGCAGAACCCCAGGTACGGGGGATCCTGGCAAGGGGGTGCTGAAAGAAACCCCACACTACAAACAGGATATCCACCCGACCACCCTTCTTACCACCCCACCCCACATCCTTCATCCGATGAGGCATTGAATTAACCCAACTATGAACCCGTCCTGGGTGGGCTTAAAGGTCTGTCTAGGCCTCTACGGCTAGGAATTTCAGGTTTTCTACGTCCTATGCTTCGTGTTGCTTGATATGTGCTTTGGGACCCTCCAGGCGTTCACGATGGACGTCAGGACTGGAGATGTAGGCGTATTAAAGTAACACCGTAGACCTGCCGCCTCCTTCCAGGATCTCACGATATTCGACCTGCCTGGTGCGTGGCCAGAGTCTCCGTCTTCCTCGAGTATGAACTGCTGGCCTGCATGGATCTAGGGTTTGGCCTGTGTCAAAAATCTGGTCACAGTAGGCCTGCTGGCTCATCTTGCCCTTGCTATTGCCAGGGACCTCGTAGCAGACCAGGTCAGAGACGTCAGAGACAAACTTATACGCAATGGCTGCCCAGGCGTGGAGTCCCATCTTGTGACAAGGCTCCGGCTCGCGACGTTCTTGGATACAGTCAGGGCAGTACCATTCACCTAGCTTCAGGATGATCCTGGCCTTGCCCTTGGGTCCTATGCTAAAATGGGCCTCGTCGCTGAATCAGACGTCTCGCCAGCTCTCTAAAATGGGGCGTAGCCCAAGAGCCTTCTTTGTATCCTAGACTCTACAGCTCGCAGCCCCTAGTGACAACGCCCGGCGGGCTATGGGGGGCGGAGGTTGTGTGGGGTCCACCGGGCAAAGATGGGCACCCCGTCATCGCGGCGGACCACCTGGCCAGCAAAGCGCTGCTGCATGACAACCTATACAGAGCCCAACGTCACAGAAACTCAGCTTCGGATACGCAAGTTACAGACGTCTAGAATTGAGTTTCCTTCATAACCTCGATCGGCACCATCATGTCTGTACATCCTGTCGGCCACAAGTGTCCAACATTGGAATCTGCGTCAAGAGAGAAATATAATGCCGCTGTGTACCATCAAGACGACGGCATTATCACTTCGACGTTCATCCATCTACTGTGGGTTAGGCTCAGAGTGTGATATGGTACGTTCTATCGACCTGCGGTGTCCTGGGCTCGATTTTGCGCCATCCTCTCTAGCCATTCCATGATGGCTTCTCTCGGGCCCGTCGCGGTCATCACCATGTCAAGAGAAAAATACAAGCGGACCTTATTAGCGGTATTAGCGGCTCTCTCCGGCTTGCGAGAGGTCTGAAATCCCGGCTACTCCCAAGCCATCGTGGGTGCGACAGGCGATGGTCGCCACTCGTAATAAAGCAGATGTCTGTGACTAGTACGACAAATATGGATGTTGATAGTAGCATCTTTGTACACATTGCAATGAGTTGTAAGCTAGGATTATGAAAATAATATGTTAGTGTTGAGCAAGCGTCTCGAGACACCAGAGGGTGAGGCTCCAAAAATTGCGGGCCCACGGTGTGTGGACGGTTTCCAAGGCCACGCTGATGCTAGGACGGTTAACCGCGAGCCGTCCGTGAACAAGGTAGACCAACTAGCTGGGCCACACTAGCAGGTCAAGTAATGGAGGCTTACTTGTCGCGGAGCATCTGGAGAGAGATGGAGGACTAGGGTAGCCAGAGTAAGCAAGGGCCGCAGCGCAGGCCATCATAATTACTCGTGCTTTGAAGGGACGTTGGGGCCTATAGGCCAGGATGGTAAGCAAATTTTTATAAAATTGTCCGGAATTGCATCGTGAACGCGCGGTGTGTGCCTTTCTAGCTGCTATGGTTTGGTGCGAGGCGGAGAGTGGGGTGGAGAGCGGGGTGGAGAGCGGGGTGGAGAGCGGGGTGGAGAGCGAGGTGGAGAGCGAGGTGGAGAGCCTAGAGCGAGGTGGAGAGCCTAGAGCGGAGGAACGAGGAATCCGAGAAACCCGAGGAAAACCGAGGGAGCCTAAAAAAAAACCCCAGAGACCCCAGAGACCCCAGAGACCCCAGAGACCCCAGAGACCCCAGAAACCCAAAAAGAGCCCAAGGCCCCTGAGGAGACCCGAGGCTCCAAGGCAAGCGTGCATTGATCTAAGTGATAGGAAGGAATTAGTACGTTGACGCTTAGGTCATCGTGTATGTAGTCGTAAACCAGCCCTATACGATACACTGCAGCATGCGCTGCTGCTTCTAGTCCTGAGCTCGTGTGACACCATGTCAGTGTAATGACTGCCCGCTCATGCTTGATTGACCCCGGTCTCTCCAGCTTTCCTGGAGTTTCACTACTTGTGACTTACCTCGAATTTACCCCGCAAGAGAAGAAGGGCCGATTTTCAGCATACTTTACTCCTTCGTGCCCCGCAATATCACCAAAAAGGCCGCAAATAATAGTGCCATCTAGGATCCCATCTTCAACCTGAGCGAGGGTACGACGTGCTAAGGGGCACGGGGACATACCGACTCGGGGGAGTGCGGTCCCCAAAAGCCCGTCCCAATAGTATAGTCGCTCAAATAGGCATCAATCGAGCATGCCAGCAGTACATATATGTATCAAGTTTCCTCATCAACAAGCGGTTTGAGGTCCAACCTTGCAAAGCGCTTCGCAATACCAACGCAAATATGAAGAAAGTTTGCTTCTTCAGGTAAGATGCTCCCAGCTATTTCTTTGTTGATCTCCGTCAACTTGTTGACAGACACTGATCATAACTCCATTCCAGTGGCCTGGTTAGCGGTGTAGCAGCGCAGAATGACTATCAGTGGCCTGCCTATCGTGAGATAGAATATGCAGTCCCTCGCGTAGTACCTGACAAGTTCGCAACCTATGCGCCTCCATACGCTAGCCTCTCTCGCCTCGTGCCCAACCAGACCACAACTAGTTGGCCTGTGGACGCCACGCCTACAGATCAGAGCGAGACTTACGGCCGATATGCGCTCTCTTCCCTTTGGCAGGATATCCCGGTTACAACTGGGCCCTTCTCAACAACCGTGGAGCCAACGCCGCTTCCGAGCCAGGAGTTGGTCAAGCCGCCGCCCCTGCCTCTTGATGGAGGAAAACCCAGCTGCTTGGGCTTCCCTAAGAACATTTCATGGGGTTTTGCTGGTGCTGCGCTCCAGATTGAGGGCGCTCTCAGAGACGAAGGGCGTGGACCTTCCGTCTGGGAATCTCGCAACAAGGGCAACTATACCGGAAAGAACGGTGGCCCCCCCGACGTTGCAGCCATGAATTATTACCTATACAAGCAGGATATTGCCCGCATGGCGGCCATTGGTGTTGAATCGTATAGCTTCAGCGTTTCGTGGCCTCGGGTCGTTCCCTTTGGAGTCGCTGGGTCGCCCATCAACGAGGAGGCCATTGACCATTACGACAGTGTCATTGATACTATTCTCGAGTACGGTATGAAACCCGTTGTGACCTTGTTCCACTGGGACACTCCTGTCTACTACGCAGACGGCACCGTTATGTAAGCTTGGTCCCCAGCTTGCCTAATCCGCAGGCGGATACCCAACAGAATTCTCATAGCGATGCTCTACTGACAATCGATCAGGGCAGTGAGTCACCCCGAATTTGTCGAAGGGTGGATGTACTACGCCAAGACCGTCCTCGCGCACTATTCCGACCGCGTAGGAACTTGGTACTCTTTCAACGAGCCGACTATTCAGGGGAATGCTCAAGGGAATTGGTCTTATACAAAGAACATCCTCGACGCCCATGCTTCCATTGTTAATTGGTACCGGGACGAAATCAAAGGGAATGGTCTATGGAGTTTCAAGATGGAGCTCAGCGGCACCGGCTTCTCCTTACCGCTTGACCCTGCTAATCATTCAGACGTCGAGGCCGCAGTACGCAGAAACGATTTCAACCTGGCCATGTTCACGAACCCGGTCTTTCTAGGAAGAAACGTACCGCAGAGCATGCAGGCGGTCGGTTTCCCTACGTATACGGACGAAGAGCTCGAGTTCTATAAGGGCACTGCAGACTTTTTTGCCTTCGACGTGTACACTGCTACTTACCATTCCGCGCCAGATAGTGGCATCTTGGCGTGCGAAGGTGACATCGAGCACCCGCTGTACCCAGCCTGTACTCGCACCCAGAGAAACAGAACTTCTGCGTGGCAGGAAAACTATTACGGCAACGTCGATCGGATCGCAGTATGTTCTAGCTTCTCTGCCCACGATTGTATCCCATAGAGGCTTCGTGGCACTCGAGATGTATAGCTGAGAGCAAAACCGCTGATACTTTCTGATCAGGTCCCCCCGGATGGCGTACGCGCCATGCTCGGGTACTTCCACCACACCTATCCTACTAAGCACGGAATCACTATTGGCGAGTTTGGATTGCCGCCCTACCACGCCACAGAAATGTCAGTTGAGCAACACGTTATGGATCCCGCACAGGGCAACTTCTATGTTCCATTCCTTCGAGAGGTCCTGAAGTCCATCAATTACGACGGCGTTAAGATGAAAGGCGTGTTCGGCTGGTCATATCTCGACAATTGGGAGTGGGGCCAGTATGATGACATGTATGGTGTGCAGGTGTACAACAAGACAACCATGCAGCGGCGTTTCAAACGTGCCATCTTCGATTTCACCGATTTTATGCTGCAGCACACTGCCGAGGAGTAAGGCGCACAGGGCGGATTCGGGGGTGTCGATGGAGCCACGGACATCATTTCCGATCCCATCTACTTTGGAATGATACAGTGCGTTACGACCCTGCGCCATATTAGAGCGCCTCTTGAAATTGAGCCATAACCTGTTGCCCCATTGTCCGCCTTCCCTCTGCCTACCTGTCTCCATGCTGTCCCTGCACACCCGTCGCAAGAGATGCGTTGGTGCTCTCGACCTCAAGTCGCCTCCTCAGACCCTCAAACTCGCGGCTATGACCTAGCGCCCGCAGGCCCAGCATCCATCCAGGGAGACGCCATCGTACAAAGGCTGTGGGGAGCAGCCCCACGCGCCATGAGTATCCGAGGGTCCAGCCGACAAGGGTACCAATGATCGAGCCTGGTGTTACGAGTCGACAGGCGACCGCATGCGCCTCCGACGTGCCCCCTACTTTTTTCTCCTATTAGACAACAGTCACGCACTACGTATAATAGTCGACTATAGACACTAGGCGGCTATAGTCGATTATATTATAAAGTCGCTCGTAGACAATAGTCGACTATAATTATTTATATAAGATTTATTTAATATATAGGAAGCTATACTTTATTAAAGTTAGTCTTTACTAACTCCTTAGCTATTGATATAATTATTCATATAAGATCTATTATCTCATAAATAGATTTTGACCTAACGGCTTGAGTTAATAACATCTTAATATACTTAGTTTAATAAACTTACTTTTATTTTACTTACTGTATAGTTAGTTTAGACTCGAATATTATATAGTAATAGCACTTATTAAATATATTCTTTTATCAAGGACGTAAATAATATAATATTATAGCCAAGTCTAGAACTACTAAGACTTAGGAGAAATTATTAAGTTTAAGAGCTTAACACTATATATTAGTATTTCAAAGGAGCTTTAAGGATTTCTTACCTAATTTAAAACTTACTATCGACTTTTCCTTACTTAACTTCATAATAAATATAGTAAGGTCTTTATAGATATATACCTTGGAGGGATATGCTTAGTAAAACGCTCGGGTCTAGACTAGCTATAGGGTAGGTAGAATAGAAGTCGGTTAACGTAATCCACATGCGAGCGGACCACCCAAGCGAGCGGGCCACTTTCACCACCCACCGCGTACAAAAAGGCTGATTTATAATAATATAAGAAATTAATATTAAAAAAATCTAGTATGCCTTATAGAGTGAGGCTTAAATATCTTCCTAATAACTTCGCACGTTATAACCTGTTTTAGCGCATCTACTATAGCGTGCAGGCTTCGGACTACCCGGTGGCTAAGGGCGCCTCTTCGTGCGCTTTTCTTCCTAAATCTATTTAATTAACCTTCTTTTAATTAATAAGATCTTTCCTATCTTATATAGTAAGGGTGCCTTTATACTATAGATAGCTTCTTTTGATCCCCCGGCGCTTACTTAATACCTTATTTGCCGTACGTAGCGACATGTTCTCCGCTTGTAAGAGGGCTACCTAGTATATCACTACTATAGCCCCCTTCGTTAATTAATCTAAGGTATTAAGTATAGGCGTTAGGGAGCTATTCTAATAGATCGAGATTCGAGTCTCAATATTTTCCGACTATGCGCTAGCCTCTTGCGCGTTCTACGGCGTCTTAAAGATCTAAGGGTGATTATTCTTAAGAAGATCTATCGGAGGAGTCGGCGTACGAAGCTTTATATTTAGCTTCGAAAGAACCCTTTCTAGGTCGTATAGAATAAGTCTAGCGACTTTAAATCCTCCTTGTATATTTGTTTCCGTAAAAGTATAGAAGAAAGCTATATAAAACACACGAAAAAAGTCAACCTTTAAGATATATATAATATATATACTATTAAAAATAGGGACCTAATTCCCCTATTAGGCGCCTTACGAGGCCCTCTCACATGACCCTTGCAGGGGCCACCTAGAACTTACAGGGATCTTTCAGGGGACTAATATAAGGGTCTATAGCGCTTACGAATATAGTGTTTCTAAAGCCTTCTATAATATTCAAAGGCTAGTGTCAGGGGGGGTCGGTCGGCAGGTAGGACGGGGAACACTCGGTTAGGCTAATCTGGTTTATTGCTATGGATAGGCACTCCTTAGGTAGGGCAGGCTCTATATATAAGACGTAGCTCGAAGAGCTATAATAGAAGATAGTCGGGATCGCGATAAAATATAAAAGCGGGCGCGAGTTCATATAACTACGAGGTATAGGGTGGGTCCCCGCTCTTAACTAGCTATAATAATACGCCCCTTTCTAAGGGCGAGCTCTTACGAGTATTTATTAAGGACTAGGTTTATTAGGATATCGGCGGTGGTAGTTAGCGACGATCTATTGCGCGTTCTCTAAATACTCTACGGGTTCTTTAGTCGGATTATTATACCTAACCTACTTTATTATATACTATAATCGTAGGTTACCTTAGCCTCTTCGTTCCTAGCGGGAATCTATTATTTCTTATATTATAAACTCTTTAGCCTTATTAACTTTAATAAGCGGCGGAGGTATAATACGTTATCCGGGATAGGGGTTATTAATAGCGGGTCGGAGTAAGTTAACGTAGAATATAAGGTATACTCTTATACTTATAGGTAGTTCTAGTTTATAAGTATATAGCGATACGGCCTTCTTGTTACGACTTAACATACGACCGCATGCGCCGCCATGCGGCTCGCACGTGACTCTCATACACGCCCCACTATTTTCGCCAATCACACACTAATCACACTGATCACTAACTCTTAACACCACGACCACGGTGATCAACTATATTTAATCACCTTTGATCACTCTTATTTAACCGTGATTACTCCGTGATTACCTTAGTATATAAGAAGCCTAGCTTTACTATAGTCAGCCTCTACCTAGCCCCTTAGCTATTAATATAATTATCTACGTAAGATCTACTATCTCGTATATAGACTATAACCCGACCGCTTAAGTTAACGATATCCTAGTATACTTAGTTTAATAACCGACTTCTATTCTACCTACCCGGTAGCTAGTATAGACCCGAATATCATATATTGATAGCTCTTGTTTAGTATACTACCGTGTTAAGTACTTAAGCAATACGATACTATAGCTAGCGAATCCTCTAAGACTAAGGGTAAGTACGCCGAGCTTGTCTAACCTCTGCCCGAGGAAGATATCGGCATAAACTCGGATAAGTCCGAGGACGAAGCGGATATCCTTAGGGGATAAATCTAACAACTTAGGGGATAACTATAATAAGTCGCCGATATATAGACTCGCGATAAAGAGTAGTACGATAAGGTATACTATAACTTTAACGAAGGAATAGCCTTATAACGGGAATAAAATACGTAATTAAGGAACGAAATAAATAGCGTGAGTAATAATACTATTCGCTAAATCACCGGCAAGGACCTAGGAGAGATTATAAAGCTACGCTAACTAGGACTATTCGATAGTATAACTAAGGACCTTTAAGGGTTCCTAATTTAGGTTAGAGCCTACTAGTAGTACTTCCCCTTTATACTACGGATAGAGGAGGATAAAGTATATTATATAGCGGGATATCTATCGGGAGCCGCCTTATATTAGTTCGAACCTACGCTTCGGGACTTCGTAACTAACGTTTACTAGTACCGAAAGTAAGATATAAAGGATATCTTCGCGTATTACTATAACTTCGAGGAAGTATTAAAAGCGACCTTCGGGACTATTAATAAAGAACGCCTAGCCGAGAACTAGCTAGAGGCGTTAAAATAAAAAGGATTAGCTTCGGACTATAGCGTTCTATTTATCTAAATTATATCTAGGACTATAAAGAGTGAGGGAGATAAGATAGTAGCCTATTATAGGGGCCTTAAGGACGAGGTTAAGGACGAACTCTATAAGGAAGACTGACTTACCGCCCTCGCTACGTATATTATAATAATAGTTAAGATCGATAATCGATAATTCGAAAGGCGATAGTAGAAAAGGGGATAGTACTTTACTAACTCCTCGAGCCGCGATCGTAGTAATAAAAACAAGATCTACCCTAATATAGGGCGACCTTAGTTCTACCTAAGCACGGCTCACGGAGGAACCCACGCGGGACCTATAGACTTAGATACTATATAACGGAAGCTCGTAGTAATTAAGAAAAAGAACCTTACCTACTATAACTATAGTAAGAAGGGATACTTTACGCGCTAATACCGTTCCCTAAAGAAAGAACGAAAGTAGGACTAGAAGCTAGTACCTAAAGGTAAGGCGAAGTAGCTAAATATAACTAAGGCCGGATACGAAATTATAATAAACGAACGATACGATATTATTAAGGATAGGGAGCAGGAGCATAAAGACTACCTCTCCGCTATCTAACGAAAGCTAACTAGGACGCTAACTCACGAGGAACTCTATTAAACAGCCTACTATAACAATAGCTACTAGACTTACTAAAATAGAAAGGAAAACTCAGGATAGTTCCCTAAGGCACTATATTAATCTCGCGTTTTAGCTATAATACGTAAGGTTACTACGGGACTAGCAAGACACCCGGACGTCATAGACGAATCACCGGATAAGCTAGACAAGCTTAGCAGCGACGCTAAAGGACAACAAAGGAAGCAGCTCGTTAAATAATAACGACGAACTTAAGAACTAGACGAAGAGTCGTTAGATACCGACTCTATAGATAGCGAAGAAGAAATCTTATAGGAAAAAAAGATACTCGAAATAAATCTCCTATACGGAAGAGCTACGCTATAAGACTGGCTCTTCGCCGCTAACGACCGGTACGATCCTCTGCCCCGAGGAGAGGACCTCTAGATAGTTATCTACGTATAAATAACACTTAGAGAAAATAGCCTTAAATAGGATCGAAAAATACTATTAAGAGACAACCTAAGGATAAATCCTAACGTAAGAAAGCACCACGAGTTATTATAGATCTTATATATATATCACTTCTATAAAATCCATATAACCGAGAAAAGGAGATATTAGGTCTACCTAATAAGAGGGGAAGACATTCGAGCTATCGACGACCCC